AGATGGAGTCTCACTCTGTCGCCCAGGCTGGAGTACAATGGCTCGATCTTGGCTCACCGCAACCTCCACCTCCCGGGTTCAAGCAATTCTCCTGCCTCAGCCTCCCACGTAGCTGAGATTACAGGCACCCACCACCATGCCCAGCTAATTTTTGTATTTTTAGTAGAGATGGGGTTTCTCCATGTTCGTCAGGCTGGTCTTGAACTGCCCACCTCAGGTGATCTATCCGCCTTGGCCTACCAAAGTGTTGGATTACAGACGTGAGCCACTGCGTCCGGCTGACACTGCATTTTTTTAAGTGACTGCAAATGCTATTGCATTTTAAATTTTGGTGTCCATGTATTTATAGCTAGTACACAGAGATAAAATAGATTTTTGTATGTTTTTACGTAGGTATAAATCTAACAAAACACATAGAGAATTTGTACACTGAAAACTATACAGTGCTGATGGACGAAAAAAGGAATGAGCCATTGATACAAGTGAACATGGATGAATCTCCAAGAATTATGCCAATAAGTGAAAAAAAGCCAATCCCAAAAGGCTCCATACTGTATAATTCCATTTCCATTTATGTAATGTTGTTAAAATGAAATTACAGAAATGGAGCTCTCTAGTGGTTACCCAGCACTAAGGAGGGCACCGGGCAGCAGATGAGTAGGTGTGTCTATAAAAGGGCAATAGAGGGATCCTTATAGTGATGGAAATGGTGTGTTTGTGTGTGTGTGTGTATTTTTTAAAAGCAATACCCATGGGTTATTTCTGCAGTTTCTGAATTCATAACTGGAATAGACATATTCAGTTTCTGGCAGAACTTTCACAGTGATTTCTAACCTTTAGAATGCCAACTGAAAAATTACACGATTTATAAATTTAGAAAGGAGATTTTCTTTTCTTCAGAGACAGTCTCATTCTGTTGCCCAAGCTGGAATGCAGTTGTATGATCACAGCTCACTAAAGCCTTGACTTACTGGGCTCAGGTGACTCACCTACCCCAGCCTCCTGAGTAGCTGGGACTACAGGTGTGTACCAACACACCCAGCTAATTTTTGTAGTTTTTGTAGAGACAGGGTTTTGCCATGTTGCCCAGGTTGGTCTTGAACTCCTGGGCTCAAGTGATCCACCTACCTCAGCCTCCCATACTGACTATGATATTATACTACAGGATGTTACCACTGGGGGAATGGGGGGAAAGTATATAAGTGAACCCTCTATATTACTTCTTATAACTACATGTGAATCTATAATGCTCTCAAAAAAAAAAAAAAAAAAAAAAACTTAAAAAAAAAAGCCATGGTTCTGGTGAGGGTACTTTTTGTGGGTAATGGAATTGTTTCTCTATCATGATGGGGTGGTGGTTGTATACATTTGTTAAATCTCACTGAATTGTAGCACCTAGTGAATTGCGTACACATTATGCCTCAATAAAGTAACAAAATCCCCACAGCTTAAGATTTCTTTGACCCTCCCACAATGCATGGTAGGGTACTATCCCCTCCCTTGTGGCTACAGGCTGCAGAGGTACTCTAAGGCTGGTCAGGAGAGCCACGCAGTGCCTGCCCAGGTGACTGGAATATTCATGCTGGAAGCCTGGGCAGCCATGCTGTAAGGAAGCCACATGCAATGGAGAGACCCTGCAGGTGCCTGGCTCAGCATTACTGGTTTGGAGTCATCCCGGCAGGTGTCTGAGCCAATGACTTCCCATGCTTCCAGTTCCCAGCCATTGAGTTCCCAGCTGAGGGCCCAGATATCACAGAGCAAAAAAAGATGTCATCCTTGCTGGGCTCTGCCCAAATTCCTAACCTACAGAATCCATGAGCATAAGGAAAAGGTTGTCTTAAGATGCTAAGTTCTGGAGTAATTTGTTAAACATCAGTAGGAACCAAAACAGTTAAGTCCAGTTATTATCCTCATTTTACAAAGGCACATAAAGGTTAAGTCACTTGCCTGAGATCACAAAGCTGGTATAGCAGATACAAAATTTGAACCCCGTGACCTGAGCCAGGATATCATAGCACCTGTAGATTAAGGGTGATTATGGTTATTTTTACAGAGTAATCTCATCTTTGCTGGGATCCAGCTCTAACTTCCCATCTTTAAAAGACAAGAAAAAATGATTATTGACCCCATGTCATCCTTTTCTTTACAGCAGAACTCTTTGAAAAGATTTTTTATAACCTATTGTCTCTAAACCTCTTTGAATGTATACCCCTAATTAATAAAAATATTTTTCTTTTTTTTTAAGAGATAAGGACCTGCTCTGTTGCCCAGGCTGGAGTACAGTGATGTAATCATGGCTCAATGCAGCCTCAACCAACCTCCTAGGCTCAAGGCATCCTTCCACTCAAGCCTCCTAAAGTAGCTGGGCCTATAGGACTGTGCCACCATGCCTGGCTAATTTTTATTTTTTTTTTGTAGAGACAGTATCTTGCTAGGTTGTCCAGTCTGGTAAAAATATTTTTCTTTTTTTTTTTTGAGATGGAGTATTGCTCTGTTGCCCAGGCTGGAGTGCAGTGGCGCAATCTCAGCTCACTGCAACCTCTGCCTCCCAGGTTCAAGCGATTCTCCTGCCTTAGCCTCTCAAGAAGCTGGGATTACAGGCATGTGCCACTGTGCCTGGCTAATTTTTATATTTTTAGTGGAGACCGGGTTTCACCATGTTGGCCATGGTTGGCCAGGCTGGTCTTGAACTCCTGACCTCAGATGATCCAGCCGCCTTGGCCTCTGAAAGTGCTGAGATTACAGGTGTGAGCCACCACATCAGGCTGGTAAAAATATTTCTAAGAGTATACCTCTAATATACACATACTTAGTTATCAGTCAAGTACAGGTTTTAATCATATAAAAAGTACTCTTCTCAAAAATGCTTAATATTATTACAATCAAGGCTCTAGGCCTAATTTACAGATTACAGAAAATGCAGGGATAGAGAAGCAAGTTAAAGTGCTCCATGAGGAAACAATTGTGTTTAAGAGGAAGAATGTCCTTATTCTTAGGAGCTGCTTATGAAAGAATGTGTAGAATATCATAGTTTCTGGCTGGGTGAGGTGGCGCACGCCTATAATCCCAGCTACTCGGGAGGCTGAGGCAGGAGAATTGTTTGAACCCGGAATAGAGGTTGCAGGGAGCCGAGATCATGCCACTGTACTCCAGCCTCAGCAACAGAGTGAGACACCATCTCAAGAAAAAATAAAAATAAGAAAGAATATCATTCTAAAAGAAAAAGAAAAAGAAAAAAAATTGAGATGGGGATTCTAAAAAAAAAAAAAGAATATCATAGTTTCTGCAACTTATTCTCAAATGATACAGAAAAAAGAATACGTAGAGTGAAAGCAAATGTGGCAAATGTGAAAAACTGTTTTTGTTTTTTTTGAGACAGGGTCTTTTCATGTTGCCCAGGCTGGTCTTAAATTTCTGGGCTTAATTAACACTCCTGCCTCAAATAAAAAGTTGGTGGGAAATTATGCATATTATATTCCATTAATATTATGTTAAACATTTATAAACACAGATTCTAAATTGATGTGTTAAGTATGTAAATAGAAGCGCTGATATTTTCTTGCAAAGACAACCTACCCTCTCTGTTGCCAAACCTGCTGGTCTGTTTTCATCTGCCTGTTTCTTTGGCACTGCTGGCTGAACCTGCCTTGAAACTTTCCTTCCTACCTCAGAGCCACAGTGTCTATGGATGCTCTGCCCAAGAATCCTCCTGGCTCCATCCCCTGCTCATTCATGTTTGGTACCTGAAAGCTTTCCCTAATTGTGCTCATTTGCATCATCAGTATCTGTCTCCCCCACAAGAAAGTTTTGCAAAGGCAGCACTTTGCTCTCATCCCTGTACCCTGGGGCCTAACTAGTACCAGGTACATAGTAAATGCTGAAAAAATATTTGCTTATTAGTCAGAGTGGAAAATTCCAAGAATTATTTGTAGAACATCAATGTTTCCAGGGAAAATCCCATTAGATATTGATATTTGGGAACCAATGAAATGCAGTTCATCAATAGTTAAAAGAAACGCTATAAAAAAAGCACTCAGAGAACAAAAAAGACCTCCCATAAATCAGAGATTAGAAGATAAAGACCAGGCGAGGTGTAGTGGCATGTGCTTTTAGTCTTAGCTACTTGAGAGGCAGAAGTGGGAAGATTGAGTGAGCCCAGAAGTTTGAGGCCAGCCTGGGCAACATAGAGAGACCCCCTATGGAAAAAAATAAAAATAAAAAAATAAAGACCAAAAAGTCTTCCAAAAAATAGAACAAAGAGCTGGGCAAGAAGTAAGAAAATCCAACAGTGGGTCCAAGAAGTTCCCTATGAGACACCCAAACCTAGTGAAAGGGGTGACAAAGGTGAGAAAGAAGAGAGCAGCATGCATCACTTTGAAGGGCACTGCCCCTTCCCTAAATGGAGAATGTCCTGAATGTCTCAAATATGGCTCAAAAAGGCTTCCCGAAAGCACATTACTGGAAAATGTCAGGTTGAGGATGAAGGGAAGACCCTAGAACATTCTGGGGGCAAATTCTAGGTCACACACCAATGATCAGGAGCCAGAGGGCATCTTCAAAAACATCACATGGCCTTCCATGCTTTAGGAACAACCACCTCCCGCCTGTCATTTTACATCTAGCAGAAGCTGTAGCGTTGGGTAGGCAACTGACCCCTGCCCCAGATCACTAAGCAGCTCAGACCCAAGGTCCACATGGTAAAAACTCCTCCTATCATCACATACAGGATGCCACCCCTGGAGTAATTTTCTGGGACTGGGTTTGGCCAAGGGATGCAGACCCACATTGCTCCTCTGCAGTGACTGCACAGTGAGTGATGATGCTAGAAGACAGTAGAAAAGGAAGGGAGGGGTTGTGCTATTTATTGTTTCTCTACATCATTTTTTTGCTATTTAGCCGCAGAGCTGAGCTGTCCTCAATTTCATTTCATGTGACAGGATCCTATTGGACAGATAAGCCACTCCTGCCTGAGGCCACACAGCCAGGGGACAGCAAAGCCCAGGGTCAGCATCCATGCCTGCTAACTTATCCACTTCCCACTGCCCTCAGTTACACCTGGGCCTGGCAGGCTTCAGGATGACCTCTGACTTCTGGAAGTGTATGTTCCTCCGGGATGCTGTAAGAAACCCAAACACACCTCTTCTAACCGTGTGCGCTTCTCAGAAGGCTCTGACCCATCACTGTCACTTCCTGAATCCTCTTCATCCCTGAAGATGTCTTCATAGGCAGGAACTTCAAGGTCATCATCTTGTTTAATGAGTAATTTGATCTAAGTTCAAAACAAAAAGGAATTAAGTCTCTCCTCCTTCTACGGAAAACTACACAATATGTTCTTCTGCAGAATCTTATTTCCTAATAAGCTGACTCAGTTTCCTGTACATACAAATAGCTACCTATTTAACAAGAGTCCCAGACTTTTTAGGAATTTTCTTGTTTTCCTTACCAGTGAGGCACCAGAGTTACACCATATGTGGTATGCAGAAATTATGAAAATCTAAAAACACAAAACCATCTAGTCTATGTAAGTCTGGAAACACAGCATCCTCTTATGCCACGCAGTAATAAAATGAATGCCCCACAGGTTGGCCTCTGATAAAGGACATGAAGATGTATAACCCCTAAGTCAATAAAACTCCTGTCTAAAAGCAATTCCAGGCTGATTTTTCTTTATTTTTTTATTTCAAGACTGTCTCTTCCTCTGTTACCCAGGCTGGAGTGCAGTAGCACAATCTTAGCTCACTGCAGCCTCTGCCCCCTGTGTTCAAGTGATTCTCCTGCCTTAGTCTCCCAAATAGCTAGGATTACAAGTGTGTGCCACCACACCCAGCTAATTTTTCTACTTTTAGCAAAAATGGGTTTCGCCATGTTGGCCAGACTGGTCTCAAACTCCCAAACTCAAGTGGTCTGCCTGCCTTGGCCTCCCAAAGTGCTGGGATTACAGGTGTGAGTCACTGCACCTGGCCTCCAGGCTGATTTTTCTGGGAGGTTCCTGATATAAGAATTAGGGAGCCCAACACCTTGTGGGTGGGAGATCAAGTTGGAGAATGCTTAGGTGCAACTGTATGCTTGCTGCTCAAGAGATCAAAGAGTAAGCACAGTAGAGCCATTCTAGGTTACAGGGTTCTGGTCCCATACCTCCCAAGTCGTCAATTCCACAAATGCATTCTGAGCAACTCCAAGGGCTAGATGCCACATCTCTTGTCAAAGATGGACAAAATCATGGTTGGACACAGTGGCTCATGCCTGCAATCCCAGCACTTTGGGAAGTCAAGGTGAGACAATCTCTTAAGGCCAGAAGTGCAAGGTCAGCCTGACCACACAGCAAGATTGAATTTCTTTCTCTCTCTCTCTCTCTCTTTTATTTTTTTGAGACAGAGTTTTGCTCTGTTGCCCAGGCTTGAGTGCGGTGGTGCAATCTCAGCTCATTACAGCCTCCACCTCCTGGGTTTGAGCAATTCTCTTGCCTCAGCCTCCCGAGTAGCCTGGATTACAGGCACATACCAATATACCTGGCTAATTTTTTGTATTTTTAGTACAGATAGCGTTTTGCCATTTGGTCAGGCTGGTCTTGAACTCCTGACCTCAAGTGATCCACCTGCCTCAGCCTCCCAAAGTGCTGGGATTACAGGGGTTAGCCACTGTGCCTGACCAAGACTCCATTTCAACAAAAAATAAAAACAAATATTTGCTAGGTGTGGTGACATGTGCCTGTAGTCCCATCTACTAAGGAGGTCGAGGCAGAAGGATCACTTGAACCCAGGAGGTTGAGGCTGCAGTGAGCCATGATTGTGCCACTGTACTCCAGCCTATCTCTTAAAAAAAAAATGACAAAGACCAAGTTCTTGTTTTCAGGCTGTTCCTACTCCCACAGGGTAGTAATACATACAACTTACCAAGAACACCAGGTGAGACATTATAGATGGCTAAAAGGTACAGACAGTTTGAGGGCAGATCACAAAAAGTACCTGGGTGTCGTTGTACACATTCACGACATTGACTGGTCTGTGGGTGTCACACACAAAGAATACAGTGTCTTCATCAGGTTGAAGGATATCCAATAGGTCTACATTAGCTCCACAGTTTATGAGAATAAAGTAACGAAACTGAAAAAAAAAGGAAGATATTGTAAAGTAGCTGTACCAAGGAGGCCCCTTTCCGTTCACTGCACTAAGCCTCTGAGTTGTTCTGCTGAGTCACTAAGTCCCTGACGTGTGGTGAGGACCACATGGCAAGGGACTCCAAAAACGGCCAGGCTGCCATGCTAAGTGCTTTGGCATGGTGACACTGTGGCTCCCAACTTTCCCCAGGAGCACGCTGAGACTCAGCAGGCCCAAATTTCATGGACAAGTTCAAGAAGCTCATGAGGAGCAGACCAAGACTTTAAGCACGTGACTGTCTCTTCAGACCTCATAGTACAGTGCTATGTGCCTCTCCAGGCTAATGGCATTGTACAGGTTTAAGTTTTTAGCAAATACTTTATGGGTACTTAATTAAGGCCTTCATCACACTCTATCACTAGCATAGCATGTTCTTTCCTTATAAATACCAAACTGGTATGGGTCCTTGACATGATGACAGGAATACCAGAAAAGGATTTGTCTCTGCTCAAATAATCCTAGATATGGCTAGGCACTCCAGGGACCCTCTTCCATGTTCCATCCCCTATCTGTGGAGTCCATAATGTCCCATCTCTCATTTGGCCCCATGCAGAGGTGCGAGGAATCCTGGCCTCTATTGTTTAAATTCATTCCTGGATTTCAAGTTGGAAACCAGGATGCATTTTCTTGGAGAAATAATGTAAGATAGTAATGTATTCTAAAGTAATTTTAACTAATCCCAGGACTTTGGGAGGCCAAGGCAGGCGGATCACTTGAGGTCAGGAGTTCGAGACCAGCCTGACCAAACTGGCAAAACCCCATCTCTACTAAAAATACAAAAATTAGCCAGGTGTGGTAGTGGGCTCCTGTAATCCCAGTTACTTAGGAGGCTGAGGCAGGAGAGTCGCTTGAACCCAGAAGGTCGTCCCAAAAATAAATTAATAAAATAAAATAATTTTAGCTAGACCATATTAAAAACTGCTAGAATCCAAGCACCTTACAATCAAATTTCTACAAAACAAGTTCAAAGTTAGGGGCTATCCACATTTATTGTCTTTTTGTGCTGTCAATTTTGCTTCTACAACTTGGGTGTAAGTCATCAGTGTATATAGCATGTTTTTCTCTTCCGTATTGCCTAATGTAGCTGATACTTAACACACTTAATCTATTGTGGAAAGAGAAAGACTGCTGTGTAAAGAAATTACAATCGAGTAAAAAAGCTAAGTTATTCTAAAATGCATCCTCAATACCTGTTCTTTATGCTCAAGAAATGCAGTTTCAAGTTCTTGCCACCCAGAAACTGGAACCAGCGTATACTGCACATGGTCACACTGGAACAAGGCCTGGGGAGAGAATGTTTTCAAAGCCTATCTTATTTAGGACGTTGGCAATTTTCCTTGAAAAGAACCTTAGGACATTAGCAATTTACCTTGAAAAGAACCTGGGGTAGATTAGACGGGTTGAGACACAAAAGACACCGGACAATATTAAGGTTGGTGAAATGTTTATGGGAAAAGCTAGGTGCTAGGAATGTGAGTGTTTACCATATTATTCTGTCAGTTTTGCAAATTACCAAAGTAAAACATCGGGGAGAAATGCCGATATTACTTCCAGGCCTTCTGAAAAGTTCCTGATCCAAGAGCTTGACCAAAACAACGTAAACACTACTATTCAAAACGAAACTAACAGATCTTCCCTAACAGACTAGGGACGCCGGGTTGGGCGTGGTGGCTCACGCCTGTAATCCAAGCACTTTGGAGGCCAAGGCGGGCGGATCACCTGAGGTCGGGAGTTCAAGACCAGCCTGACCAACATGGTGAAACCCGTCTTTATAAAAAAAATAAAACAGACTAGGGACGTCCATATTCCCAGCAACACCTATGACACAACTGTACCCACAGTAGTCACAGATTCCTTTCTCTCAAATCCCCCATTTGAGAGGCCGCTACAGACCCAAAGCTTCCCCCAAATGCAACCGTTTTGTTCACCTATTAATATTAACAGTTTATTGTAAACATACAAACTAGTCTCTGCCTTCCACTTAACCCACCGTTGGGCCAGGGAGGCGACCTCTCCTCAGAGTCTCCCTCCTCTCACCGGCTGCTCACCTCCCGCCCTGCTCCCTCTCCCACCCTAAGCCTCCAGCACCCATCCTGACTCTGCCCGCCCTGCGCCCCCACCTCCAGCCCGCGCCTACGCAGCACCCTCACCTCTCGCGCCGGCCCCGCCCTCCTAGGGTCCACAGGACTCACCTGAAGGATCTTGCACGCACACAGAGCATCCACGTCCGAGGCCACGAAGAGAAGGACCCTCTGTCGGGGCAAGAGCGGGCTGGGTGAATGCTGCGACCCGAACCCCGGCCCTCACCTGCCTCCCGGTCACCCACGGCCGCTCCCCCTCATCCCTTCCCCTAGGCAAGGCCTCGTCTGGGGTCCTGGACTGGGAGTCACCTGGCTCTGGACCACCTCGTAGAACTCTTTGCGGAAATCGGACACGAACATAGCCACAGTGGCCGAACACCCGGCGCTAGCGCTGAGGTACCAAGAGCCCCGACGGCGGTCAAGACTCCCGCCAAATCACGGCTCCTCTGATTGGTCCAGGGATCACCAACCAATAGCTTCTTAGTTCCCAGCCTTCCCTTCTTTCTGATTGGGCCACATTGGGGGCGGGCATTAGCGCTCTGCCATTCTCGGCTAGAAAACTCCAGCCCGCCCCGAAAGAAGCGTCATCTCTGAGGCCGAACGCAAACACTGTTGCCCTCTTCAACTCTGACTCGCTTTTACCCGGAAACGCGACTCTCGGCGGACATCTTTACTTTGGGAAGAGAAGCCTACTGCTGCCCACTGGGAACCCTAAAGGAAAGTACACTTCTAGCCGTACATTAAACTCAATGACATACCGAATGGGGCAGCAGTTACGTTTGCAATAGCTTCTTGATGTGGTTTGAAAAAAGGATTTTAGCTTACTTCCGCCCAAGTCCTCGATGGCTGAAGCAGAGGCCGACAGATTAACGTGCATTCTGGGTAGTGTAGTCGCAAGGACAATGGGCCCTACTAAATTCGTTTGGAGGGGACTACTATCAACACGTAATTTCAAAATGACTTTAAGAAGTACCTATAAACGGGGAAGTAAATCAGGAAATGGCATTTTAGTTTTTCTGCTGAGGGTGTTTTAGAACCTAACGCCTTCGCCTGGCCTTTTCTCTTTTGCAGCCGACTCCTGGCCCGGGGCACCCCCCTCCGGGTTTCGGGTCCGGCACTTCCGGTGAGCCTCTGGGGCGGTAGGCTTGGAGCAGCAGCTGCGGCGGCGGCGGGGTGCCGTCGTCTCGTTCCCCGAGAGAAGCGGCGTCTGCAAGGAGGTGTCCATCATGGTAAGCGCTGCCCGGCAGCGGGAGGGGGCTAGGGGCCTGGACCAGGGCCGGAGGTAGGGCCAGGTGGGGCGGGTGGGGTCGGGACGCCGCCGGAGGTGCCGAGTCACCGGGGCCTGAGTCTGCGCCGGACTCCTCGGCCGCGCCGGGCACAGGCAGGATCCTTGACCACTAACCGCCCGTGGTTGCGTCCGCGGGTCCTGGGCATGGCTCGCATTCCGTCTTGGCCCAACTTTCCCTCCTTGACGAAGGCAAGGAAGGTTTGTGTCCATTCACGGGTTTCTCAAGTGCTGGACACGCAACAGGTTTCCCTAAACCCAAAGTTAGTTGCAGGGTTTTTGGGGATGGGAACAGAACCCGGCTCTCCCCAGGTAGAATCCGCAGCGGGCATCCCCGCTCTTGGGGACACCCAGCTCCTGCCCCAGCTCCGTGAGCTCCGTGACCACGGGTTCGTGCCTTTGGATATGTACAGCGGTGTTGTGTTCGGTAATGATAACGATGGGAGCTAATACCTGCTAGCTGTAATTTCCTGTTACGCAGTTTTTAACACCTGTAATCCCTCATCACGCCTTATTTCCTTTAGTCCCTACAACCCCTTTGGAAGCAAGGACGATCATTATTTTAAACATGAGAAAACTAACTTTTACAGAGATATTTTATTCGAGTCACAAAAGTAGGGAGTGGAGAGTTGAAGCCAAGTCTCTCTGTCTGCAAAGCACTCTATGGTATTGTCTTCCTGTCACCTGTTTATTTTAGTAAAGACAGGAAATGATTGTTATATTTTATCCCAAGCATCACTGTCAAACTCTGGCTTATTTCTCTTCTTGAGTTCATCCACTCAGGAATACCTGTTATATTCCAGTCAATGTGCTAGGTCTGGGGGTTGAAAAAGAAAGTGAGAGATGGGATCGGGAGCAGCACAGAGGGGCAGAAGGTCGTGTTCGTGGGTAAACTGCAGGCGGGTTGTTAAGTATGTTGCCCCTTTGTGCAGATTTATCTTTTATGTTCAAAGAGAAGAAATGGCTTAGTTAGGGTTGCTAGTGGGAAGCACTCAGGGGAAGCCACCACCCTGTACTGGCTTTGTTCACCTGGAAACGCTTTTCATGTTATTATGCTTCTGGCCAAGATTTAGTTGAACAAAATTCTGCTGCTTGAAAGAAGAAAGCAGAAGATTGAAAATTACTGTGTTAGAGTGCTAGGGAGTGAAGAGCCATCCAAGATTTTAGGCGGGAGCATGCTGTATTTGCATTTTAGGTGATAGCTAATTCAGCTGTCTAATTTTGGAGTTGCTAGTAAACTGCTTTGTCAGTAGGTGGCCTTCCTTCTACTAAATATATATTTGGTATCAAGTCAAGAAATTTTCTCTAATAGAGATTTTTTTTTTTAGTTGTGGTGAAAACAAATTTTTATCATAACCATTTTTAAGTCTATAGTTAAATAGTGTTGAGTACATTCATGAGCAACAGATTTTCAGAACTTTTTCATCTTGCAAAAGTGAAACTCTAATATTAAACAGTAACTCTCCATTTTCTACTACTCACAGCCTCTGTCAACCTGTGTTCCACTTTGTCTCCATAAATTTGCCTATGCTAGGGACTTACTAGAAGTGGATTCATAAAATATAAGTCCTTTTGTGACTGACTTATTTCACTTAGCATGAAATCATCAAGGGTCATCCATGTGACAGGATTTCCTTCATTTTCAAAGCTGAATAATATTTCATTGTAGTAATATCATACCACAATTTGTTTATTCATTCATCTGTCATTGGACGCTTGGGTTGCATCCACCTTTTAGCTGTTATGAATAGTTGTGCTATGAATATGCGGTGTACAAAAATCTCTTCTTGATTCTGCCTCCAGTTCTTCTGAATATATTTTCTACTGTGAGATTTTATATGGTTTCGGTTACCTGAAGTCAACCATGGTCCAAAAATTTTAAAATAGAGACCACATTCACATAACTTTTGTTGCAGTATATTGTTATAATTGTTTTAGTACTTGTTAATCTCTTAATGTGCCTAATTTAGAAGTTAAGCTTTTTTTTTTTTTTTTAAATGGAGTCTTGCTCTGTCGCCCAGGCTGCAGTGCAGTGGTGGCTGTCTCTGCTCACTGCACCCCCTGCCTCCTGAGTTCAAGCAATTCTCCTGCCTCAGCCTCCTGGGTAACTGGAATTACAGGCATGGGCCACCATGCCCCACTAATTTTTGTATTTTTAGTAGAGAGGGGGTTTTGCCATGTTGGCCAGGCTAGTCTCGAACTCCTGACCTTGGGTGATCCACCTGCCTCTGCCTCCCAAAGTGCTGGGATTATAGGTGTGAGACACCACACCGAGTGTATAAGTTAAACTTTATTGTAGATATGTCCGTATAAGAAAAAACATATATATGTTTTGGGATTATCTGTAGTTTCAGGTGTCCACTGGGGATGTTGGAATATATCCCCTGTGGATATGAGGGGGTGACGGGAGGAATACTGTACTTTGAGAACACACCAAATTGATGTATGTTTGCTAAGCCTTTTTTTTTTAAAGGCTAGTCAAGTGAAGCAGTGGGAGTGGAGAAGGAACAAAAAAATCTGTAACAGTTGTGATCAGGTAGTTGTAAGGATCTTACCTTTTTAATGGCACCATGTTTTAGCTTTGCTTCTTGATGTAAGAAAGCACCACAACATAGCGTGGTGTGTATCTGCTCTGTCCTGTGAGAGCACGATGGAGGGGCACTAGCCCTGACCCTCAGCAGAGCAGGGGAGGCTTCCTGGGGAAAGGAAAGGTTGGTAATTGGAAGCCAGGGGAAGGGCTGGAAACACTAGGTACCTGCTCTTCCTGCTGCCTGGAATGCCTTTCCCTATTTTTTGATTGGCTTCCTCTCATAGCATTCAGGTCTTTGTGCAGAGAGTCCCTTCCTAACTACCTATTTAAAATAGCATTCTCAGGAGCCCTCTGTCTCCTTAACTTGTTGCTTGTCTTCAGAACTGCTGGGCACACATGTGTTTTCTTGTGTATATCTCCCTTGCTTTAAGTGTCAGTACCACCAGGACAGAGGTGGTGTCTATTTTGTTAGTGGACATATCACTAGAGTGGCGTTTCCCTTGTGTCCAGATCAGAGCCTGGCAGATAATAGGCACCCAATAAAGAGATGTTTCAATAAACAGATATTGTTTAGATTAATGATAATAGGAAAAGTGTTCAACGCAGAGCAGCTAGCCCAGGCAGGAGTTTAGAAGTCTGTGGGGCGGTCAGTACAAGTCTCTGAGGTATGCAAGAGGTCGAAGATGGGAGGATGAAGATGGGAGCACAGCCCTGAAAAAGGTTCAGGGCAGGCTTGACATTGCCTCTCTTAGATTTAGTAAGATTACATTGAAGATTTCAGTACATTGTGTTCTTTGACAATGTTTAGCACCATAATTACTCTGACATGTTTTGGGTTTTGACATGAATAAATGTACCTTTGTTCTAATACTGGTTTCTCTTTCCTCCTTCTAGTTCTCTTTCAACATGTTCGACCACCCGATTCCCAGGGTTTTCCAAAACCGCTTCTCCACACAGTACCGCTGCTTCTCTGTGTCCATGCTAGCAGGGCCTAATGACAGGTCAGATGTGGAGAAAGGAGGGAAGAGTATGTGCTTGTTTTTATTTTGAATAGTAACCTTTCTTGCCCTAAGTCTGCAATGCTGTAGCCTTCAACAGTACTTACTTTGCATGTGGGAGTCAGAAACTAGTGTTACTGTGATAATGGTGCTTACCCCAGACTTGCTCAGTTGGGGTGGGGTGCTAATTATGGTTAGGTTTATGGCTGATAACCATTCAGTTCCCAAAATAAATTACGCCAAGTAAGATTCTTTATGAAAGATCACTGTGACATTCTGGCTACCCTAAAAACAGTTTAAAACTTTTTATTAGATATAACAGAAACTGCATTTTGCCTTTGGTCTGTGCTTTTTATTTTATTTTTTTAATATTTCTTAAATATTCTTTCCACAGTAATTATGCCACCTTCAGCCCTGGACCAACTCAGTAAGTATCTTCTGAGTGACTTAAGAACTTAGATAATATAAATATGGACACCAGGAGTCAGCATGGGCTCCTCAGTACATCCAGACACCAGTGTGCTTTGTGAACATCTGGTTGTGAATTGCTCCTGGAGGGCATGTGCTGGGCTGCGAGAACCTGGGCACAGGCGCTTAGGGCAAGGACCGGGCCCCCTCAGTGCTCAGCTTCATCACTGCCCTGGGTGCTTCAGGTCTCTCCTCTGTGAAGGTAATTCCCCTCTTCTTCCTG